TTACAATTATTTCATTGTTTTTATCAACGAAAATATAGGGTAAAAATGTAACAAACAAAAACGAATTTTTGTTTTTTCCTTATGTAAAATTTTCATCAAAACTGAAGCTGAACAATACATTTTAACGAAAACGTAAAAAAACAGGAAAACAGTAAACGTGATGACAATAGCAATATTTGAATTGAAAATAAGCACCGTTCGTTTGTTCGTTTCTTCTAATTCTAATGATTATTTATAATTAAAATACCTCCAGATCAAATTAAAAAAATCGAATATCATTAAGCGATCAGTGAATTTCTGTCACAGAAACAGTTGCAGTTTCCTCAGTTTCACAATCTAAAACTATTTAAAATTGTTATTATTTTTGTTTCTCTGCATCTGCTAATCTTAGTCTAATCTTAGTGTTTTAGTAGGGAAAACAATCAGTTGAAGGAAAAGCGAAGAATGATGAAGACAAGGYGATTGTTAGGATGCAGAACAGAATGGCTTTTCAGGGTCACAAATCAGCCCCCGCGCCTTTCTATAAAGCTGCCACAGAATAAATATTTTGCTCATAAAAAATCCCATCGTCAGGACACACATCCTGAACATCAGCTTTACTCTGAAACAATCAGCGAACAGTTTTCATTCAGAAATCCTCTTACCGCTTGTTCCAACCGAGAGGCGACACAACGTGAAGCTCCAGAAATATATAAAAACTAGGAATAAAGCTGAATTTTTAAATAAATAAAAACGTGTCGGAGGCGCAGCGCGCTCCTCTTGGATTTTACGCACCGCCTCTGTGACTCCTCCGTGTCCCCTCGTGTCTCCAAGCCGCAGAAACGCGTCCCCGTGTCTCCGGTGCGCTCAAACCTCAGCCCCCCCCACCTCCTCCTTCAGTCTTCGGACACCGCTGCGGTCGGTCGAATCGAACCCCCCTCCTCTTCCCCCCTTCTCTCAGACAGCCTCTAGCCGTCCTACAGACACCGCGGGACGGTACTAAATCCCATCCCCAACTTGCTGCCAACTTTTCCACTGATGCTCTGCGCCTCAGTCGGCTCTTCTCTCTTGTCACCACTCCTCCTCCTCCTCCTCCTCCTCCTCCTCCTCCTGCTGCTGTCCTGTCCTGTCCTGTCCAGACGCGCCTAGGTGTCTTTTTTTCACCCTTTCTTTTTTTCTAGTAAGCCATTCAACTTTTCATTTCCCCCTTCCTCTCCCCCTTCTTCCTTTCTCTTATCATCACCACCACCATCCTCCTCCTCCCCCGCCTCCTCCTCCTCCTCCTCTTCATCCAGCCCGGGACGGCCCGTCTGCGTGTGTGACAGCAGAGAGATGGGGAGGTTTTCCGGGGCGCGCGGAACGGGTTGGTGGGATGTGTCTCCCTCGC